ATCAAGGACAGTTGTGCCCATCTCGGACCTGCCCCTCACTTCTTGAACTATGCCTAGAATCTTACAAAACAATATTTTTCTAGATAATACAAACTAACGTTACACTTTATTTCCCGAGGGAAGACCAGTTTACATTTTTTTTTTCAAAAGTTAAACCTCAATAGAATTAGTAAACTTTTTACCTTTTCAAAGTAGAAAAAGAGAATGTGTTTTATATCATCGATGATGCATGGTTAGAACTACTACTCTCAAAATTGTTAGAATTTGAGCGTCAATCCGTGTTCGATTTGAAAAAGATAAAAAAAAATTATATAGACAAATTTTCAATCTAGTTCATTTAAAATCTGGTTCACTTGGGTTGAATATGTGGTGAGAGTCAGGTTGACTCATCAATTCATCTACTTTAATTTAATTATTTATTATTTTGTGTTTCAATATTATTAATTAACATTTTTTTATTGTATTGTAAATAGAAATATAGAAAAAAATATTTCAAGAGAGCAAAATATTATAAATTTATCTATTCAAAACTCTAATATTATAAATGAATAAGTGACACAAAAATTATTAATATTATAAACTTATTTATTCGTTTTTTGGATTTGCTTTTGGATTATATTTGAATTGTATGTTAATTTTTTATTTTGAATTGTCAGAGTTTATCATCATTTTAGAATGAAATTATTTAAATTTAAATTACAAAAAAATTGTAATCTTTTTTTATTAAAAAAAACTTGTAATTAAGTGAATCAGTCAGTCAACCTGTTTAATCCACCAACCCGTGGTAGGTTGGACTAGGTTCAAATTTGTTCAGCTCACTAATAAATGAGCCGAGTTAGGTTGACTTACTAAATAGCCAACCATTGTAAACCGGACCGGATTAAACCGAGTTGGGTTGGGTTTGGTGGCCTGTTTTGATAGACCTTTTTCTCTCACTTATTGGTTGGACAATTTAATGAATATAAAAAGCTAAGTTCAAAATATTATCTATACGACTGTTCGTTCCATTCTTTTTGTGACATATATATTTAGATGAAACTTTTAGTTAATAAAATGAGTGTATTATCTTAACTAAAATTAAGAAAGTTAAACAAAATATAAAAAAAATTACAAATTTATCATTTTTTAAGTGAGTTAAAGTTAGTCTCATAGTCTTTTATATAAGTTTGTTTATAGTTTATTAGTGTTGAATTTATCCCGTAATCTATAATTCATTTTGATAACCAATTTTGATAATTATGATATAACATTATCGTCATTTCAAAATTTCTTCTTAGTATAGGTTAGAAAACAATATGTCATGTTAAAATAATATAAGTTTTCGATAGGGTTGAAATCCTTTACTCAAAGCATTCAAAGTTGTTCGCTGCATCATCTAGGTTACGTTGTTCTCTCTTCTCTTTCTCCTACCCGTGGGGGAGGGTGCCTGCAGAAGACACTCTATGCTCAAGTTAGTGACTTTACGTAATAATTTTATAATAAAGATGCTCAGAATAATTTTCAGACCCGGCTCACCACGGATCAATTTTTTTATGCGGGTTGGTTTTCAAACTGGATGAGCCGAGTTCTAAGTAAGCCGGGTTGAAAACTAACCCGCATAAAAAAATTATATTTTTTTCAAATCCAACCCAGCTCAAACCTGTGGTGGACCGGATTGGTTCACCGATTACGACCCATTTTGACATCACTAAATAAAATATTCATAAATATATTGTTTTAAGATTTTTTCATTAAAAATGATGACAATAGTTTAGATTAAGCTCACATCACACTAATCTCCTCAGTACATTCTCACTCTAAAAAAAGTTAAAAACATAAATCATAGTTCTTTTATAACTATAAATAAATAAAAATTAACTAACATATAAATAATAAAATTCATAAATTAGTTGGTACAAAAAAAATTCAATATTCTCATCAAAAGACCAAAAATAATATTAAAATGATATATTTTAGTTTTAGGGTGATTGATGGTTAAATTTTGATTTATGAGGTGATAAAGAGTTTTTAAAGTTCACTCTCTTATAAATACTAATACTAATACACACAGTTTACAAATATCCAAATTCTATCTTTAAGTCCACCTTCAAGATCTGTGCTCAATTATTGGAGTTATTTTTAGTTCTGGAAAAGATTCTATGACGCTTAAGTTAGTTAAAGAGTTTTAGAATCAATATGTGTGTATATGAGATTGAGTGATTATTAGGGTGATTGAGTATTTATTAAGAAGTACTAATTGTATTTATATGATTAACATGAACAATTGATCTATACAAAACTGACAAGATGAATTATTATTTTCATTAATATATGAATATTTTCTTAATAGATCTATTTTAGATTATTATAAGATGAAAAGATTTAATGAGTCTTGTTCAACCATGTTCTTTAACGCATCTTGTCAAATAAATATAATATATATTAACACTTTTATATATATTTTTTTATGGATCTCACTTAAATAAATATAGACTATTATTAGTATTTCTTACTCTAAGTGATTATTTATGTCTAAGTGATTATTTATGGTTTAAATTATTTAATATTCAAAGTAAATTGAATTTTAATTGAAGGTTATAATTCAAAATTACGTTTATTATCTCTATTTAACATGTATTATTTGTTTAACTTTAATTTAAAAAATGTAAATGTAATTTATATTGTATTTTATATATCCATTGTTTTATTTCACGTTTGACTTTTTAAAATGCGATGATGCGTTTTTATATAATTTATGTGAGAAGTACTTACCTAACTGTACAAAGAAGACTAAAAGGAAGATTTAATAATAAGAATTTAATAATGAACATTTAAACATGTAATAAATTGAATCGATAACTGAATTTAATTAATATTCCACTTTCAGAAAAAAAATATTCGATATAATTTTAAGTAAAAAGAGAGAAGAATCTGATTAATTAAATATTTCATTTTATTTTATCTAACGATACGTGCTATAAACAAATGTTGGTTCCACCTTTTTTAATTAATTTTAAACTCAAATTTGGATTCTTTTTCTATGGTTTGGATACAGTTTCAATGTTTGCCATTTGTATGCATAGGTGCCACCACTTGTCATATTTAAAAACCTTTCTGATGAAGTTGGATTCTACACATTTATTCATTTCCAAATAAAAATCTTAAACTTCATATCTCGTCTAATTAGTTGAATTTTTATTGGAATACATTTAAAAAATGTATATTTTTTAAGAGAGAAAACTATGTTTGCAATCATTAAGACATCAAATTTAAAAAATGAATATGTATTACCATTAAACGTAGATGTGTATATTTTTTACCAATAAGAAATGAAGATTAAATTTTAGTAACATTAGGTTAAATATGTTTTTATTATATATCGTAAATGAATAGCATTCATTTGTAGTCTTAATTTTTTCGCCACTTGCACCTTCATTTATGAAAACAAATTAAATGTAGTTAATTCCGTTCAAAGAAAACTGTCCCCTCGGAATTCTTTATTTATTAAAAAAATTGAACTGTACTATTTTCGTAAAGGAGATAAAAATAATAATAATTTATTTTGGAAGGATTAAAAAGCACGGTCCCATATGTAAGTTGCAACATTAATAGATGGCTTTAAATTTTTACAATATATAATGAATCAGTTGAAAAAAGTTGAATTAATTAAATTATGTGTAAGAATGTAATTTAAAGACAATAGTTAGTTAAACCAGTAACTACTATAAATTAAAATTAAAGTAGTGATTTGTGGAGATATATATCCATACTGAATTACTTTTGTAATAATTATTCGTCCCAGCCACATGATATATATGAATTGAAAAGGAAATTCTGGATAGATATAATCCATTAGAAGATGGTAACACTTTTGGAATAAAATATAACGAATGATTAATATTAGTTCATTAAGAATCTATCTAATTATAAGTCATAGACATTGGTCAAAGGAACAAGGATTCGACCTCCCTCTACCCATCTTTTTTATAAAAAAGAAATACATATTCGTGAAGTGAGGCTCACCCTCTAAGAGAAAATTACTCACTCTCATTTTGAATTCGAGATTTGATTGTTTGATTTTTTTTTTATCTGAATTGTAGACAGGTGGTTAGTTTTGAGTGTTGAGTTAATTAAATAATGATGAAACTGGATGGTGTATCTGATTCCCATAATAGGTGAGGCATTGGATTTGCGAATTCCTCAATTAGTATTATATTCTGAGTGTAAAGAGAGTTAGAAAATTATTAATTTATTATGTTAGAAGTCACGTGAGAAACAAGGTTACATGGTGATATGGTCCCGAGTGATTTAAGACCAATGCATTAGGGTTTGCATCAACCAACCGTTCGGTCAGATATCGAAGATGATCCAATAGTCGTAAACACTTAAAAATCTTAATGTTACCTATAATTAGATTTACATGTAAAATATGCTTATCACGTATTGGATCATGATTAACTATAGTAATTATAATCTATCTCAAAATCTATAAATATGATTATGACATAAAGAGATAATTGATTGTATTTATTATAAATTTAAGATTTTATTGTGTTAACCGAACCATCGAAATACTGACTTAAACATCAAAACATTAAGAACTTGGAAGAATTGTGTAACTGAAATTAAAGACAAAATTACAAGGTTCAAAAAAGTGTAAAGAAGTTTTTGATTGTGATTCCTAATCTCATACCCGAAAGAATATCAAAGTCATTTTAGACTATATACATAAGGGTTAAATATGTTTTTAGTCCCTGAACTATCAAGCGTTTTTGGTTTTAGTCCCTACTCAGAACTTTGATGGTTTTTAGTCCTTATCGTTTTGAAACTGTTATAAATTGTCCCTAATTTTAAACGGCGTTAATTTTTATTTAACGTGGCTAACGTCTAATGCCAAGTGTGATTTTATTCTCTCCACGTTTTCTTTTTTTTTATTCTAAATTTGCAATGAAGTCCCTAATTTCTACGATGTTTACACTTTAGCATTAACACTGCAATTAGGGTTCAGAAGAGGCAGCCATCTAACAGTACAGAAACACATAAGGGGAAACGCAGATAGCTGTCGAACCTCCAACGCAAGGTCGCCGCCACCTAGCCTCCATCGTCTTGAGTTTCGCTTGAAGTTCATTGATGTAAGCAATAGCATCTCCCAATAGAGATGCTTTGTCCATCTTTGAGATATTTGGAACAACCGCACGCAGGGCATAGAACCACTGGTTTAGCTTCTCCCTCCTTTGCCTCTCTGCCTCCACATGGTTGAGGGGCTCCTCCCTTCCATTGGCCGGCTTCCTTCCCCGTTTCCTCGGCCTCCTGTCATCGGCAACATTCGCTCTCTCCTCCTTGCACGATGCCTCAACATCAGAAATCTCAGATTCCGCAATGATTGATCTCCCTGAAGCCCTTGAAGTTGCTCCTGAGAAATCAATTTGCATCTGAGCCTTCCGTTGCTGCTGCTGATAATTGTTATGCACAAAATCATGCCTCGTGCCATTGGCCAGCTCCGGCACCGACAATGCACCGGAGGTGGACAACCTAGGAGCATGAATTTCAGGAGGACCAAGCTGTCTCACAACTTGACCGGCCCCCCAACCAGAACCATGGATACCATTTGGAAAACCAACACTATTCCCATTGGGATGAGCTCCCCACGCCCTCGGCCTCTCTTCCATTTTCCTCACAGCAAGTTTCTCTCTGAATTGAGTCACACTGTTCAAATCTTGCCCAAAAATCTTTGGAACTCCGTTTCCTTCTACTCTATTATTACTAGCATTGCTGCTGTTATTCTTTTCCTTATCCCCAATTGCCACACCAGAAAAAGGGGCATTTGCATTATCATCTCTCTTCTCACTCACCAAATCAAATGGTGTAATTGGCTTAATCCTGAGAGGGACCAACGATGCCTGTGCAGAAAACACAGACTTCAAAGCCTGCAAAAGCTCAAAACTCTCACCCACCATCCTCACAGACCCCATCTCCACCACCCCCATATCAGTAGGCACTAAAACAACAGTCTGAAACAGAGAAAAGAAAAGAAAAAAATCAAAGTGCAAACATAGAAGAAATTAAGGGCTTCTGTGCAAATTTGAAATAAAAAGAAAACAAAATATGGAACATAATAAATTCATAGCTGGCATAAAACGTGGATTGGTCGTTAGCCACGTGAGAAAAAAGTTAACGCAGTCCAATTTTAAGGACTATTACTCAGAGTTTCAAAACAATAAGGACTAAAAACCATCAAAGTTCTGAGTAGGGACTAAAACCAAAATCGCTTGATAGTTCAGGGACTAAAAACATATTTAACCCTATACATAAATATAGCCTTATCTACAAGTTAGTTTTATGAAATTGAGTTAGACTTAAAATCCACACCTTAAAATATATTATAATAAGAAATCATATTTTTCCATAGAAAATTCTTTACATTGATTTTATATTACTCTTTCTTATTTTTTTATTCTTTTTAAATAGAAATTTATTTTTTTATAATTATTTTACTTTTATAATATATGTGAAATGAATAATATTAATCTAGAAGCAGTAGCTGGTGGTGGTGCTTGATGATTAATGTATGTTTGCGTTGCGTTAGGCAATGGCAATAGCAGACAGAAGAAAATGGGGAGGAATGAGCACAGATGCAAAGTGAGGAAAGTGGGATTGAAAAAGTTAAATACCGTCCAATCTGGAGGGAAGGAAACCATCCGCGAAAAAACTAAACTTCTACCTACTTGCTCCATTTATATCATAAATATTCTTTTTAAGACAATATATTTCAATTAATATGCCACTTAACTTTTTAATTCATTAAAATTAAATAATATCATAATAAAAGACGCGAACAATGTATGTATTTCTTTGTGATCAAAATAAAGAGTACAGAATCATTTTCATTTCAAACGTCAAAGTAATGGTAGGAATTAAAATTTCGGGTGGGGATTGATAGAGATGCCGTATAGTTTCTGATTCATGTATTATATACGGTCAACTAAATAGCGTTTCTAGGTTCATCAAAAATAAATATACCTTTTTTAATTCAAACTCACTATTATTCTCTTTTTTTTCTGGTTAGCAATATAAATAAATTTAACGCTTATATATTTAAAAAAAATATGTAAACTAATATAATAAATGTTTTAACAAAAAGGATATTCATGTCTTCTTTTACCGGTTTGCATTTTTTTATTAATTTAACAATTATTTTGTTTTAATTAATTTTATTAAAATTTATTATATTACTATTTATATTTGTTTTAGATGATATATTTAATCTAGTTTTCTTATAATAAAATATTATACGAGATAAATTTATCGGTTGAAATTCATATTTTATTATTTTTAATTATTATACAACTTATTCATGATAGCTCGGAATTACTATATTACTTATTATTTTGATCAACAAAACTTGTTTAAGATAAAATCTATTACTAGATAATCTCTCAATGATGAAGTATAATACTTCTTGAAGATATATCAAAATCATATTATGCAATAAGACTGTCAAAATAATATAACAATAACAAATCCTTATACAATTGAGTAAAATCACAATCACCAATTAATAAAATAAAGATAAGTGCGTAACAAAAAAATTAGGAATATGGATTTAGTTTTAGCATAAAAATAATAAATCCATAAGGATGCTCGATTGTAAAAAGAGTAATCAAAATCTAGAAAAAATATCGAAAATGGAGCTAAGGAAGTTATCATTTTTTAAAAATAATGTAAATATAATAGTGAATAAATGTGTAAGAGGAGTATACCTAAATTTGTAGTTGGGTTTATACGAAGCAAAAGATATTTTGCATTGGTGGGTCAGTGATATATTTTTAGTTATGTATCAACTTGCAAATAATCGCTTGTCTTCTTGGACCAAGTTGATACTGTGTATTCATTCGTTTCCCCACATCAAACAGTGACATTCACCTCGTCAAGGATAGGAAAAAAAACACTAACACAAAAAACATATGCAAAAATGAAAGGATTTATTTTATTTTAGACTTTTGTCGTTTCTTTTTCTCCATTTCATGTAAAAATCTACATTCGAAGGCTTGGACAAAATTAGTTGCAAATACATAAATATTAAAATATAATTAAAAATGAAAAATCTGCTTAAAGGTAAAAGTTGGTAGCTGGTAGTTAAAAGTTGTCAAGCCAACTTATTAAATCATAAATATTTGGTATAAATGAAAAAAAAAAACCATACAAATGTTTATATGATATTTTTATTTAAATTTGTTTTTTATTTCATGGTAAAAATACATTTTGAGGATTTTATAATTTAATTCCTTTTAAAATTATTTTTTGACTCTTCAAATATTTTATCTGTAGATGAATTATTTCGATCACAGTTTTACAAACACCCACATGTTGTTCATGGTAAAATAACCTTAAAGCCAATTACATGTTGACAATTATTTATAAACAAGTATTCTAAAAAAAGAAACAGATACAATGAACCGAGTGGTAATTTCGTTATGATATTTTATTTTTGTCAAAGTCTTGACCATTAAAAATACACTAATATTTAATTTTAAAATGTTTTTAATATATTTTAAAACTTCAACATCAGTATCATTATATCAGTGTATTCTGAAAGCAGAAAAGAGAAACAACACGTAACTCAAGAGAGAATCCAAACTCATTTTTCGTGGGGGTTGTCTTCTCCTTCAATTCGACATTGAATTACGTGTCCTGTATCATTTTTTACCGTTACCGCCAACGTTATTTACCTACGTTTTGTAAGCAAGACAGTTTTGAAAAGTAAAAATCAACTACGACCTTTTGTTTTGCCCTTATCCATTACAGCTACTAACAATAAACGCAAAATGATTGGGAGGGAAAAAGACAGAGTTGCAGGGAAGAAAACTGATATACATGAATTTTTACGAGAGTTAAAATGACGATATATATGTATATAGAAATTTACAGAGCACAAAGATCCCTGGATCTGGAAGGTAATTAAGTTTGAAGGATGGTGGGTGAGATGGATGAATTAAACCCAGAAGCAGGGAACGAGGTGGAGATGATGGTGGTGGAGGGAGGTGTCGGCATCGATCAAGTGCTGAACGTGCTTAAACTGGGCGAGTTGACAAGGGATAGTTATGGTTCCCTTGTGTGTAAAGCCGTACTCTTCCTCCGCCTCCTTCAGAAGCTGAACAAACAGTGGGTGCTTCAGGTAATTCACCGGCACCGTTATTTTCTGCGGCTCTTCGCCTTCACCACCAACCTTTATTTTCATGCACCCTTTTCGTATCTCTTTCCTCACCATCACCACTTCCCTTACCTCCTGCTCACCTCCCTCGTACGTTTGTTTCAAGCTTATGCCCAACATTTCTGATGCAAAAACCCTAAATTTGTCAGATATATATGTAAAATTTTGTAGAGGGATAAGGTTGAGGATGGAGAAGGTATTAAGGAATGAATGGATATTTATGGCAACGAAGAAGGAAGCAATCGAGAAAATCGTAATGGGAAAGTGGCGGCTTGAAAAGGTAGTAAGTGGGAAAATGAGTAAATAGAGGATGACTTGGTCACCTGGGAATAAATTAAGGAAAAAGATTTTTTTTTTACACATTTTTTCGTAATATTTTAATTCAACACATAATATTTTTTTATTTTTTTATTTTTATGTTGATGTATTTCAAATTTAATAAAAAAAAATTATACATATACTATGTCAAAATGTTATAAATAAGAACGTGTTTATTCTGTCTTGACTTCAAACTTGGGAACACTGATTCAACTCGTTTAAGAGTGGATCTCTCACCTATACGCTTCGTGTTTGATCTTGTAACCTAAGATTCTTGTAAATATGATTGGATGACAAATTTTAAACTGTATTTATTTTTATACAAAAATTAAACTATTTTACAATTAAATATATTATTTAAATATATTCTTTTAAAGAAATTGAAATAGTAAGAATTTAAGTGAGTGATTCGATTACTTAAATCTAAACTTTGCTTCCAAATTTCAATTGTAATTCTTTGTGTGTTTTCAATTGTATATATAATTTGTAATTTGTCATCGTGGATATTTTTATTAGATGGTGGCCGATTTCTTTTAGGTTAAACTGTATAGTTATTATTTTTTATTGATATTTACAAATACGAATATTTATTATATAATTTCTTATTTTTAAATTTAACTATTTATCACATCTAATGAGAAATTGTTTCAGAACTTTATGTAATTGTATTATAATTGTTTCAAAATTTTAAATTCCTTTTTCTCTGTACGAGAAATTTTATGTCATTTTATTAAACGAGTTTTCCAGGACATGTAGTAAACTTGTAAGGACAACTTTTATGAACAATATATATTGTCATTCATTGTAGTGTCGGTGTTTGGGCCCAATTGGTTTTCGTGTGCCTCTTGATGATTGGCCCAAAACAATATTTTAAAGTCTATTTAATTTTATTAAAATTTTAAAATATTTTTTAATAAAATATATTATAGCATCAGTGTATTGATAATGCTTAGTAGAGGACAGGAAAAAAAACTCAGAACTTGTGTTTATACCTAATTGGTTTTCATCTGTCTCTTTATGATGGGCCCTAAACAATAATGGGGGCAGGCCATTGGTTTTGCACCTCAGTTTTCTTCTACACTCCCCAAAACATTAACATCTCTATTTTACCCTTCGGTATAAAGTTTTGTCTGGATTATGCAATTTTGAAACTTTTTAGATTATGCAATTTTGAACTCAAAAACTTATACCTAATTACACAATCCAGAACATTAATTTGGAAGTCAATATAGTATCTTAAACTACACAATTTAAAAATCAATTTAGGTATTTTCTTCTACAGTTAAATATTCAAAATATGTATACTCTAATTCGAAAGGGAACTAGATAAATGTCTTTCAAATCATGTTGACAAACATTTTACTATTAGACCAATGTTCTTTGGGTCTGTATCTCTCAACAACTAGTCTCAATCCTTCTTGCATATGTTCGTATAGAAGTGTCAAAATTGAATAACACATTATCCAAAGCCTCTTTAAGTTTTTTAGTCGTTAAGATGACTTTAATCCTAATACAAATACTTCCTACTATTTGTTAACTGTCTCTTATTGGACCAATTGGATAACAAATACAACTATCCAACTCTAATGTTTTTTTTTTCTTAGCTAACACTCTGTTCACTTCATATAGAGAAAGTGCAAAACAGAGGACGAGAAAAGTGAAGAACAAGCCTCTTTGAATTTCATGATATGGTTGGAAAGTCAAGCTATCAAGAAAGAATGATGTCCATTCATTTTCCATACACGTGAAAAAAAGAATCTATGTTTATTTCATCAATATCTGTATTATATATAAAAACATTTATTTCGCTGCAGTTTCACAATAAAATTAAAATTAAAAACAATTTAAATATACTTTCTACTTTTAGTCTTCCGAATAATTTTAAAAACATAAAAAAGTTTTATATTTTAAAACTAAAAATATCTCAAATACATAAAGAATTTTATGCTCATAATAGAAAAATATTAAAAATAAATAAATTTCTCTAATATGGTATATGCAACTAACAGCATTGCCCCTTTTTATAATTATTTCAGTCAAAAATTAAACAAAAATTACAAAAATAAATAAAAAAGTATATAAATCATGTTTACAAAATCAATATTACTAATAATTAACTTAAAAAGCCATATATATTTTATTTAAAAAATACGCTACAAAGTTAAACTA